GGGATATTTGATGTGCCTCTGGCATGTGATATTTTCTAAGCCAAAAATAATAAGAATTTAGTCATAGGAGAGCATTTTCTGTATATTAATTGCTTTTATTATTTAGTTTTTCCATTTCAGTTTATTTCTCACATTTTTATAGTTTTACAGGTTAAAATATGAAGAAATAGGAAATTGAAGAAAAGAAGAAAAAGAGGATATGTGCGATCCGCACGGAGATGCGTCTGCCATACAGATTCCAGAGAGTTGGCGCGGTTGCGGCGCCAACCCCGCGCAACCCGCGCGAACTTCTGCGGGAAATCAATTTCTGAAGACGTTAAAAGGACGTAACGAAGAAAGAAGGGGGGATTACGACAGAAAGGCACAGAGAGTTCCAGTAGGAGGAGAACATCAAGGGAGCAGATCATCGTTCTTAGTTATCATCGTAATTTTCTTTTCTTTTCTCTTTTATAATTGTATGTCAGCTAAGCCTATGGCTAGATAATTTCTCTTATTGTAGTTAGGGTCACAAACCCTATGTGAACCCTTTTCACGATGGATTGATTTATTTTCGCTCGTTTATTTTAATATATTTTATTTTTACCCTGTGCGTATTGTTTATTATTTCTGTTAGACTTGATCAACCTAATAGGAGATAATAATTTGGGAATTAGGGCTCGCAATAGAAATATTGGGGTTTTGATTCTGAAAGGGGGTAAAGTAACAATTGATGCATGCTCTAGGAATAGACTTGTGTGAATTGCAGTCGTTTAATTTATCGTGGTTAATGCTTAATTTCATGCGGGACTACTAAGGAATTAGGGTTTCAATTGGATTAAAGGGCTAGATTACCAAGGAATTGAAATTTAACTAATTATTTCTAGATGATAAATTGTCTGAGTTATTAAAATAAATGAGCATTGTTAATTAATCCAGAGTTTAAAATGGGGATCATATAGTGCGTGTACCTTAGTTGCAATGTTTACTCATTATTATTCTCTCAAAAATCCAAACTTTACCATTGCTAAAAAAATTAAGAATTACATTTTAATTTTCTGTCTTTATTTCACTATCAATTCACCATTTTCGAAAACAACCAGATTTTCCAACTTAAGGGGACAGGTTATTGTGGTATTTGGTTTACAATCCCTATGGAGAAGATACTTTACTTACTCACTATATTACTTGTGCAATCGGTACACTTGCCGTCGAACATCAAGTTTTTGGCGTCGTTGCCTGGGATTGCTAATTCCAACATTATAAATAACTGTTGATCTTTGAGACTGGATTTTTATTTTTATTTTTATTTTATCTTGTTCTGAGTTTTGCAGGTGCTACTAACCATTTTTTTTCTGAGTTTTATGCGAGGTAGACTTGCTCCTAAAGACTTTGTGATTGATCCTGAAATTGCAAGGACTGAGAGGAGACAGAGAAAAGTTGCCAAGCAAATAATTTGGGAAGAGTTCAATACTGTACCTGTACAATCAATACAAGATATGCCAGAATGTAACAATCCTGGTGGCGGAGGCCACAATCCAAATAACCCTCATCCATGATTGTTGGACACCATTCTGACTCCGGTGTTTAATAGGCCAAATTCAAGTATACTCAGGCCGGCGGTGCAGGCAAACAATTTTGAGCTGAAGCCAGCTCTAATTACTTTGGTGGTGAGAGCTCAGTTTTCTGGTGCTGAGAATGAAGACCCTCATGAGTTTATAGATCGATTCCTGATGATGTTATCAGACTGCGATTGTTTCCTTTTGCTGTTAAGGGAAAGGCTCTCAAATGGGTGGAAAGGAAAGCAGCTAACAGTATCATCATCACATGGGAAGATTTATCGACCAAATTCTTTGGCGAGTTCTTTTCTATGGAGAGGCACAACCAGCTGGTGAATGAGATCACCAACTTTTGCCAACTTGAAGGAGAATCATTGTGTGCAACCTGAAACAGATTCCAGGAACTTATCAAAAAATGTCCACACTATGAGGGAGACGATGATAGAAAGGTGGCAATTTTCTTCAATGGCATCACTCTCGAAACAAGATTGGTGCTTAATAGTGCAGCGGGAGGTTCTATTCGGCAGTGTACATCTGAGCAAGCTCTTGATTTAATAAAGAAATTGGCCAGAAATGAGAATGAGAGCTTACCGGTTCAAGCAAGAAGAGGAGTGATAAAGTTGAAGAACAAAGATGCTATGCTTGCTGAACAAAAGTTGTTGTCCAAGAAGTTTGATAGCCTCAATGAAAAGTTTGAGAAACTGCAAGTGTCCAAGGTTCAATCAACTTCTATGGTTTGTGAATATTGTAAAGAAGCTCATGAGTCTAATAAGTGCCCTACTCTAAATGGTTCTAGTCCACAGCAGGTGCAAGTGAATGGGGTTTGGTATGAATAGAAGCCCCAACAAAATTTTCAAAGAAATCAGAAATTTGCTTCTGGGAGCAATTTTTAGAGGAGAGGTTAAGGAGGTGGTCTTGACTATGGTTCCAACAACTATCTGCAACCTCCTCATATTCCTCAAAAGGAGACTTCTGAGCTTGAGAAAACTATGTTACAGCTTTCTAAGACAACAAATGACCACATTCTGACAACAAATTCTTTTATCAATGAGGCTAGAGCACACAACCTGGAGGTTCAAATTGGTTAATTGTCCAAGCAAGTTTCTGAGAGACTTCCAAGAACATTTCCTAGTGACACTATTGGGAATCCTAAGGAGCATTGCAAGGCTATAATGACCAGAAGTGGTAAAGTGCTTCCATCTCCTGAGATTGAGGAGAAGCTTGATGAGGCAGTTGAGCCTGAAAAAGAAATTGAAAAACCAGCTGAAGTGGTGAAGCCAGTTGAAAAAGAAAAAGAAAAAGCAAAAGAATAGAGTGTGATTGTTGAGAAGAAGCATGAGATGAGTCTTGGTTATGTGAGAGCTATGGCACCTTATCCAGAAAGATTCAAGCAAGATGCTCGGAAGCAGCAATATGCCAGGTTTCTTGATATTTTCAAAAAGTTGCACATTAATATTCCCTTTGTTGAGGCTCTGGCTAATATGCCTAATTATGCCAAGTTTATGAAAGACCTTTTATCATGAAAACACAAGTTGTAAGAATGCCAGACTGTGACACTCAGTGAGGAGTGTAGTGCAATAATACAAAAGAAGTTTCCTCCTAAGCTTCGTAATCCAGGGAGCTTCAATATTCCAATTGTTAGTGGTAACACTAATGTTGGCAAAGCTTTGTGTGATCTTAGGGCGAGTATAAATTTGATGCCCTTGTCTATGTGTAAATCTTTGGGAATCTATGAGCTTAAGCCTACTATGGTTTCCTTGCAACTTGCTGACAGATCTTTGAGGAAACCCAATGGTATAATTGAAGATGTACTTGTGAAAGTGGACAAGTTCATTTTTCCAGCAGATTTTGTGGTGTTGGACATGGAAGAGGAAACTGAAATGCCTCTTTTGTTGGGTAGACCTTTCTTGCCTACTGCTCGAGCTATGATTGATGTTGAACAAGGAAAACTCTAGTTAAGAATGAATGACGATACCATTACCATCAATGTCTTTGATTCTGTGACAAAATCTTCTGACAAAGGCGATTGTTTCAGACTTGATGTTTTAGAAGAAGTGGTTAAAGAAGAGAAATCTCCTAGTCAGAAGCTTGAGGAAGAACTTAAGGCGCGTGATATTGTTCCCTTTGAGGAAAAAAAAGGTGTTGTGTTTGAGGTTCTTGAGAAAAAAGATTCTGACAAAGAAGATGGTGTCCCAAAAGTAGAGTTAAAGGAGCTGCCGGAAACTCTTAAATACATCTTCTTGGGTGATGAGGAGACTTACCCTGTTATCATTAATAAGGGGTTGTCTTCTAAGAAGGAAAGGAGATTGATAGAAGTGCTAAAGAAACACAAGACTGCCATAGGGTGGTCCATTTCTGATTTGAAGGGTATAAATCCTTCTTTTTGTACTCACAAAATTCTCATGGAGGATAATGTCAAACCTATGAGGCAACCTCAAAGGAGGCTTAATCCCACAATGAAGGAGGTGGTGAGAAAGGAAGTGTGAAACTTCTTGATGCTGGCATGATTTACCCGATTTCATATACTGCTTGGGTAAGTCCAGTGTAAACGGTTCCAAAGAAGAGAGGCGTCACTGTGGTCCACAATGAAAAAATGAACTAATTCCGACCAAAACTATCACTGGTTGGAGGATGTGTGTAGATTACAGGAGGTTGAATGCCTCCACAAGGAAGGACCATTTTCCACTTCCCTTTGTGGATCAGATGTTAAAGAGATTGGCCGGGCATACTTATTACTGTTTCCTGGATGGATATTCTGGGTACAATCAAATCCCAGTGGCATCGGAGGATCAGGAGAAAACAGCCCTCACTTGCCCTTTTGGAGTATTTGTATAACAACTCTCATTATCAAGTCAGGTTAATTAAGAAAATCAAGCATGAGTTTAGTAGATTAAGTTGTGTTTAAGGAAATTGTGACGAATTATGTCAAGTAATGGTTCATTGATCATGAAATTATCATGACAAGATATACAAGGATACAATTCATGCCAAGCAAGTCTAATAAGACCTTAATATTAATAATTAATAAGTTTAGGGTCAAAATGTAATTATGAGAAAGTTAGAGGTTTAATTATAATTAAACATAAACTAGTCTAAACTTTAATTAGATGATGTAATTAAATTCCTTGGGGAATTTTAAGAACTTTAAGGGGTTTTAGTTTTGTTTAAATAAGTCTAGATTAATTCTTAAAAATAGGATAAAGTGTAGATTAAATTAATTAGTAGAAGAAATTAATGTGTTAGTCTTGAAAATTTAACTAGTTTTAAGTTATTAATATTTGTTGGTAGTAATTAAATAAAATAAAAATCTGACCCTTTATGTTCCCTCGTTAGCGCACAAGGTGGGGAGGATTTGGAGTGCTATTATGTTAGCCAATAAGAGCCCACCACCTTAGGAAAGTAGCCTTGTAAGTCAATAAAGAGGATTTATTTTTTAGTGCATCACTTGGACGGTCATCAAAAGAGAAAAGGAACAAACAAAAAAACCTGCACTTGTCTTCTTCAAAACCGTGGCATGCTTGGAAGGAAGGGTGATGAGAGAACATGGTATTCTAGTGTTTAAATCATCTAGCTCCTTTGAGAAAAAGATTCCTTAGTGAATGGAGATTAAAACCTTGTGCTTTTTCCTTCTTGAAGAGATCATATGAAGGTATTTTTCTTCTCTTCTCCATGCACATATCAAGCTGTCTTCTTAGTGTGATGATAGATTTTCATGCTTTTTTTGAAGTAAATTTGAAGTAGTAGCCTGGTGTTTAAGGTAACTAAACTACCTTTTTCTAGTTAAATTACATGGATTTATTATTAGGTTTGTGAAATTGGGGGCTGAATTTGTGAAGTTAATATCATGTTATTATGTTAAAGTATGATGAAATATTGATGGCTTTCAAGTTCTTAAGTGGGATTAATTGATGAATCTTTGGTTGAATGATTGAAATCTCAAAAGGGATGAGTTTAATGAACCCTATATGGTTCAGTTTTTGTGTGTAAAAATATGCACACCAAGTGTTTGATAATATGTCTAAAGGAAATAAAAGATAGTATATGCATTGATGAAGGTTCAAGTGATAGAAAAATTGAAAGAGAATTCATTAAACCTTAAGCTAGGCAAATTGGTCATCATGTGATAAAATAGTTAAAGGATGTGTTTAATCAAGTTTGTATGTGGAAATATAAGTGTCATATGATTTAGAGTTGGTTTGTAAAAAGAATGAAGTATAGGAATTTCAAAAGAACCTTATGGACCTTGTAGGATCAACATAGGGGCTGTTATATAAAAAAATTCATATCTGAAGCTACAAGACTCCAAATGGAGTGTGGTTTGCGCCAAATTAAAGCCTTAAGTGTCTACTATAACATATCAAATATTCAGGGGAATCGGAGTTAAGATGAAATTTTAGTGATTAAAATGGCACAGGACGTTGATGCTGTAAAAAAAGTGTGTATTTTGGCCCTTTAGAATTAATTGTGTAAATTAAGTGTTTAATTCCTTAGTCATGTAAAACAATGATCCTTAGGACATTTAAGTGTGAAATCTTAATTAAGTCTAGGATGAGACTATGTTTATGTTAGATTTTTGATGAAAAAGTTATGTAATAATTTATATAAGACTACTTAGTGATCAAACAAGGAATTAACCAAGGTATATGAATAAGAAAACAAGTCAAATTCTTGGAATTTCTAAATGGTGCAATTCAGCCACTATAGGAGTAATTGACCGAGGAATGAAAGTAAATTCACATAAGTGTTTGATTACATTTAGCAAGTAAATTCAAGTATATGCTATATAGATGGTTAGTCTGGAAACTTGTATTAACTTGTGATTTTGAAAGATGTGTTAATATGTAGTAAATCTTGAAAACATTGGGGTAATTGTCTTTGACTTGTGTGGTGGCATGAATTGATAGAACGTAATTTGATGGTACGTAGGTTGAAGAACAAGTTTAGAGGCATTGGATTAAATACGTGAAATTCAAGCAAGGTTGGAATTGCGCTTTTTACAGGTAACCTCTTGGTATTAGGGCTTGTTCCCTTTTTCTGTTCCACCATACCCGTTGAGGGTAATGGTAGGAAGTGTATATGAGTAGTGTAGAACAGCATGAGCATGCATGCATTATTACAGTGGGTACTTATATACCGAGTCTCTGGCCAGTAGACAGTTTTTTCCTTCGGGCGTTTCGGACTTCCACTGGATAGGTCTCCGAGAGGGAGCTCCAGTTGACCTAGGGTCGTGGTGTGTGATCCGGATAGGAGCACACTAGGAATGTCTCGGGTGTATATGGATGGTTGGGGCATCATGGTTGTGGTTATTGGAACACACCTTGGATGATACCCGTAGGCTTATATATGCCGAGGACGTTGCGTGGTATTGGTAGCTACCATCCCGCTTCGTCGTATTTTATATCCCGATATTCCTCAATTTCTCTAAATCCCTTGCTTTGTCCCGTTTTGAAAGTGGTTGCTTTATACTATTGATATGCATCGAAGTGAACCATTGGGCGGCGTTTTCTCCAGAACCTCTGGGTTACTGAGTTATATCCGTATATCTCACCCCGTCTCGGGGCATTTATTTCAGGAGGTAGCAGTGGCACAGGAGTGGCGGGCAAGAGGCCCGTAGGATGAGTCATGGGGTCATTGTCATTACTTGTTCATGATATATATTGTGCCTGAGTCTAGTTAGTTATTATTTCATTCGAAGTTATGTTTAAAGTTGTAAATTCAAGTTATGAATATGTACGTTGTTATATTTAAATAAAATGTTGTAAGTATGCATGAATATTGATGTAATATGATGGAAGGGCTTTAAGCCTATTGTAGGATGATGATTATATACTTATGTTGAGAAATGGCATGTAAATGGATCTTGTGATTGAAACAAGTTAAGGATTTTAAAGTGAGCATTATAGTATAAATTGTGTAATAAATATAAACTGAATTGGGTTGTAAGTGCCCCAAGGCATTATTGGACCTTGTGTGTGCCACCCATTGGATTATTATTGATTTATTAGGTACATTGAGGTATTAGTGAGCTTGTGTAAATTTGGGGATTTAAGGAAAAACAAAGGAAACTCTGGCGAATTTTCTGTAGAATTGGCAGATTTTAGGTGAACTTCAGGAGAGTATAACTTCCTCCACAGAGGTCCGATAGGGACGTTCCATACGCCATTTTAAAGCTTGAGATGTACCCTACATAGTTTCAAAATATGGGCAGATTCTGAGCTGCACACAGCTCTGTAGAAATTGTGGAACACTGACTGTCCATGTACCTCTGATACAGGGGCTGTTCTGGTCCAGTTTTGGGAATTTTATTCCCGCTTCGTTTCTTGGTCAAATTAAGCGTATGATATATCAAGTTGAAGATTGAGGTGTCTAGTTTATGGTGTAAAAATTTGAGGGAAATTGGATTAGTGGATTCAGTGCAGTAATTCAGAGAGTGAGGTATGTTTTGTGTCATTTTGGGATTTGTTGGCAGTTTTGCTTGTCCAACTTCAAACAGCGATAACCGGAGCAAACGAGCTTCGAATTGAGCGTGTGATAGCTTGTTGGAAAGGGAATTAAGTAAGACAAAAATATAATCTAAGAAGAAGGTCTGGTTGTGAACGGTGTGTTCGCAGAAAATTAATGAGTGAACCATGTTCGAAGAGGTAAAAACGTAGAGTTGAGAAATTGGCTAACTGGGTTTATGGGAACCCCTTAGTAACTTATAATAAGTAAAGTGTGATGTAAAAATAGTTAAAATAAGTATTCCGCAAGAGTTAACAGTTATAGTCACAGCTTTTAATTATTACGCTTTTATTGTTTTAAATGCTCGCGTAATAATTGGAAAAAGTTTATTCGTATTTTTATAAATGAATTGTTGTGATTGTAACTGCGCTTAATATCATAATTAATATTAACAATACCGGTGTACAACGGGCTGTTACATTTTATGGTATCAGAGCAGGGCCTCTCATCCAATACGGTGTGGTTCGAGGACGAACCAGGCGGAAGCTGGTGGGCATGTAACATCCCGGGCGCTGACGAGGGCGGGGAGTGATCGCCGGTGCGAAAGGGCATGGACAAGGAGCGGCTCCTGGCAGGCTTCTAGGGACGGGGGTACATGAATGAATCGAGTCAACACCCGAAAGAGAGAGATTCCAGAGACTGTGCTGGTATGGGACGGTACAGTTGGGAATGGCTTATAAGAATTAATTGGTACTACCTATACTAACAAGATGCATCTACTTTTCGGTAGCCCAGATCGGAAGAACTCTACAGTTAAGCGTGCTTAACTTGGAGCAATTCAGGGATGGGTGACCTCCTGGGAAGTTTTCTCGGGAAGTGTGCGAGTGAGGACAAAGCACGCTGAAAAGTCTCGTGTTAGTGTGTGAGGACAGTCGTTGATCCTTGCAAGTTGCCAGACGTTACAATTTGCATATCGACGGATGTCGTTTGGTCTATGCAACGCACCTGCTACGTTTCAGAGGTGCATGCTCTCCATATTTTCTAACATGGTGGAGAAAAATCTTGAGGTATTTATGGATTACTTTTCAGGATTTGGCTCTTGTTTTGATTTATGCTTGTATAATCTAACTAATGTTTTAAAAAGATGCCAAGAAACTAATCTTGTACTTAATTGGGAGAAATGTCATTTTATGGTACAAGAGGGGATTGTGTTAGGCCATAAAATATCTGGGAAAGGAATTGAGGTTGATGAGGCAAAACTCATGTTGATTGAAAAACTCTCCCATCCTGTTAATTTGACTACTGTTAGAAGTTTTCTAGGACATGCTGGATTTTATAGAAGATTTATCAAAGACTTTTCTAAGATAGCCAAACCATTAAGCCAACTCTTAGTAAAGGACTCTGAATTTAACTTTGATGATGCATGTCTGAAAGCTTTTAATTTGTTGATATAAAAGCTCACTACAACTCCTATTCTTGTAGCTCCTGATTGGAGTTTACCTTTTGAGCTTATTTGTGATGCTAGTGCTTATGCCATTGGTGTAGTCCTTGGCCAACGTAAGGATAAATTGTTACATGTCATATACTATGCTAGCAAAAATTTAAATTAGGCACAAGTAAATTATGCCACAACCGAAAAAGAAATGCTAGCAGTAGTGTATGCACTGGACAAATTTAGATCTTATTTGTTGGGTTCCAAGGTAATTGTTTTTACTGACCATTCTGCTATCAAGTATTTCATGACTAAGCAGGATGCCAAGCCTCATTTCCTAAGGTGGATGCTCTTGTTTCAAGAGTTCGACTTGGAGATCAGAGATAAGTCTGGGCTAGAAAACAAAGTAGCAGATCATTTGTCAAGAATTTAGGAGAAGGAATTGCAAGATGGTCCTGAAAAAGAAATAAATGACACCTTCCCTGATGAGAGGGTGATGGCTATTTTTGTGCCTCTTTGGTTTGCGGATATTTCCAATTACAAGGTGATAAAAGAGTTGCCTCCTAACCTTACTAGGCAACAACAGAAAAAGTTTCTGCAAGATGCAATGAGATTTCATTAGGATGACTCTTACATGTATTTCCAATGTTCTGATGGAATTATACGGAGGTGTGTGCCAGATTTTGAAGTGCATAAGATCTTGTGGCATTGCCATGCATCAGATTACGGAGGTCACTTTGGAGGTAATAGAACTGCTCAAAAAGTTTTACAGAGCAGTTATTATTGGCCTACATTGTTTAAAGATGCTAGGGACTATGTTGAGAGGTGTGACAAGTATCAAAGAGCTGGAAATATTTCCCGCAAGGATAAGATGCCTCTGAATAGCATATTGGAGGTAGAACTTTTCTATGTGTGGGGAATAGATTTTATGGGCCCATTTCCATCATCTTATTCCAACCAATATATTCTGGTGGCTGTAGATTATGTGTCGAAGTGGGATGAGGTTGTTGCTCTTCCCACTAATGATGCTAAAGTGGTGGTGAACTTTCTGAGGAAGAACATCTTCACTTGGTTTGGTGTCCCTAGAGCTATTATTAGTGATGGGGGACACACTTTTGCAATAAGCAGTTTGATTGTTTGCTTGCAAAGTATGGAGTGAATCATAGGGTGGCTACACCTTACCATCCTCAGACTAGTGGGCAGGTTGAAGTGTCAAATAGAGAGTTGAAGAGAATCCTTGAGAAGACTATTGGTAATTCCTTGAAGGATTAGGCAAGAAAGCTTGATGATGCGCTTTGGGCGTATAGAACTGCATTCAAGACTCCAATAGGTATGTCTCCTTATCAATTGGTGTATGGGAAGTCTTGTCATTTTCCTGTGGAGTTGGAACATAAGGCTTTATGGGCTACTAAGTTCTTGAATTTTGAACCAACAAAAGCTCTTCAGAAAAGATTGCTGCAACTGAATGAGCTGGATGATTTTCGATTATCTGCATATAAGAGTGCCCGAGTTTATAAAGAAAAGACCAAGAAGTGGCACGATAAAAAGATCAGTCCAAAGGAATTTGAGCCAGGCCAACAACTGTTAATGTACAATTCTCGCCTGAGATTGTTTCCTGGCAAGCTCAAGTCTAGGTGGGCTGGTCCATTTGTGGTAAAGAGAGTATTCCCCTACGGAGCAGTTGAGATATCTCCCTTGGATGATGATAGACCCTTCAAAGTCAACGGAGCTAGACTCAAGTTCTACCAAGGAGGACCTGCCATAAGAGACACCGAGACTCTGTCTCTCAAAGAAAACAATACTTAAAAGAGGTAACTGTCAGGCTCGTGACGTTAAAAAAATGCTCATTGGGAGGCAACCTAATTCAGAGTTTTATTCAATGTTTTATGTTATCCTAAAAAAAAAAAATTGACTCGCGCGAGTCGCGCCAGTATGGCGCGATTGCAGCACCAGAGTTTGTAAAAAACAGAGAATTTGCTCGAGTACCGCGCTAGTATGGCACGGTTGCAGCGCCAAAAATCTAAGAAACCAGAGAATTTGCGCGAGTGTCACACCAGTATGGCACGACCCGCGCCACATAAGCCAAGAGGAGAAAGTCGCGCCAGATATAAAGGGTCGAGCGGTTGCTCCTCTCATTTTGCATCTCATCCCTTTCATTTCTCCCATTTCTCTCTTCCTTTTCTTCCCAACTCTCTTCAATTGTTATTCTTCCTTTTCTTCACATGGCTTCACGGGTAAGTCTCCTTTATTTCTTTCTTTTAGTTAGTTTTCTAATTAGTTACTTGTTTAACTGTTATGTTATTTTATTTTCTAGTTAGTTAGTATTATTTAATGCCTGGTTTTTAGTTAGTTACTTGTTTCCCTTGAACCTCTTGCTATGTTGACTATCTGGTATAAAATGCTGAGTTGTATGCTAAGATGTGTTGATACCCTATTTTCTGATTTTGATTTCAACTGTTGGTTTGTTCTGTTTTATTCTTTAGATAAAGTTGGAATCAAATCTGGGAATGGTGGTTTGCTATATACTTCCAGTTTGATTACTTGTGATCTAATTGCTCTATTGTCATATTTTTTGCATTGGAAAATTTTTCTGGTTTTCAGGGCGCACAAGGTACAAAGTTTAAGAAAAAAATTGGCGATACTAAAAGAGCCAAGACTTCTGCTTCTTCATCTTTTGATGATTTTCGGTTTGTTTCTGCGGAGGCCCAGGAAAGGTATTTTGACAAATATGAGGGCAAAGGATTCATTAGAGAAAGGAACATCAGTGTGAGCATGCCTGAGGATAATTTTATCATGAGGACTATAAGAAGAAGGCAATGGGAAGTTCTGGTAACTTATGCTGAGTCTGCTTCTAGTTCCATTATTAAAGAATTTTGTGCTAATGCTAATCTAGAAGACTTGGATCATACCAGGATGTCCCGGGTTAGAGAGATTGATTTGTCATTTTTTGTTGAGGCTATTGAGAGATTCCTGCAACTAATTATGACCATGTTGCTGGTCCTTGTGAATATGTTGATCTGTTCAATAGGATGATGCCTACAACTGGGCGGCTATTATATAAAAAAGAGATGCCTATGCTTGCTAACATGATTAGGAGAGGGATCACTACTCCCTATTCTAAATGGAAGCTTAAGTCTGCTAACTCCTGACAAGCTACATATGAAGGAGTTGACTGGTGGGTGTAGGTTTTGGCATCAGTTTGTGAACTCTAATGTCCTTCCCTCTTCTAATCTCACTGATGTTAATATGAAGCGGGCTCCATTCTTATATATTATGACCGGGTTGGAGAGGTTGGATATATCAGCTGTTTTATCTAACCGTATTTGCCATATGGTATGGGGTAGCAGGAAGGAGCAACTTCTGGCACATGCTTCTTTGATATCTCATTTTTGTGTCCAGGTGGGTTTGGAGATCCCTGAAGAGGAAGATTTAGATGTTGCTCCTGATGCACTTATGAACTTCATTACTTATGCCAATATTTGTGCTAAGTCTGACCAAGAGCTAGTGGTCAAGACTGGCACTATAGGACTTAATGCTCCTGCATCTCCTAGAGCACCCCGAGTACCTCTTCCACCCCGTGCTCTTGAGATTCCACTAGTTGCTGCTTCCTCTGCATCAACTTCCAGGGTACCTATTCCACCACATGAGCTAGTCTATGAGGACTCACCGAGTTACTTGCGCATGCAGATGCAGATGGAGTTCATGTCCATTCATCACATTTACCAGACTCGCGTCCTTGAGGGATTAGCTCAGGCTGGGGGCATGGATTATGCATCATTCCAGCCGCAGTATCCGTTCGTGTCCCCAGCTCCATATTACCCAGTACCCGACGCTACTCGTGCACCGATGCATCCAGTACCACCAGTTCCTCCATTTGCTGAGTCATCTCATGCTGCTGAGGGAGATGACATGGAGGATTGATTACATCTCCTTGCTGCTGGAGATTGTTTTATTTCCATTTTGTCTATTATTTTAGTTTATCTTTTTAGTACTTTTGTTGTTTTATTATGACCATAGGTTGATGTTAGGGTCATTTAGATTATGTGGGTTTGTATATGTCCCATACACTCTGATGTCTTTATTGTGCGGATTATAGTTCATTCTATATACTGTTGTTTGTTCCATGGTGCAGATATTTCGATAATCCTTGGGTTTAAATATTGTTGGGAACAGCAATTCTTTAAATCTGGGAATTGTAGGCATTGGGAAGCACTCTGGAACTGCAATTTTTTTCTATCAGGGGAGAAATTCTAAACTCTTTACATTTTTTTAGTTAGTTGGTAGTTTGTGTTGCTCTTATAAAAAAAATTGGAAATATATTTCTGAAGCAATTCTCAGGTTTAAATGTGCTTACCCAATTAACTTGCTTGATTGAATCATGGGAAGCATGTTTGTATGACATTCTGGCATGACATTGCATAGGTATAATTAGATTACATGATTGCTCGTTTGTCTAATTTGATGTTGTGAAATTCTGATAATGTCTGAGGTTAATTTTCATGAGTCTAGATTGATACCACAGCTTGTGAGATTTGAGCTTAAACACTGATTTTTCTTGTTGAGAAGCCTCACTGTTGTAACACTCTAAAACTTGATTTGTTTCTCTGTGATGCATGCATTGGTTGAGATGATTAAGGCATTTTGTTCTTGTTAGCCTATGGCCAAATAGCCCACCTGTATGAAATTTTTCCATGGCTAGCCCCTTGAGACTGAACATATGTTATTGATAAATTACCTGTTGGCCAAATTAATGGCTTAGCTTATATCCATGTGACTTACCCTAATTGAGATTGAATTACTGATGTGTTAAATAAAAAAAATAAAGAAATTGAGGTAAGCTCCACAAAGGTTAAGTGATTAGGGGATGTATATTCTATTTATACCCAAAAAAAAAACCAAAAATTTGCATAAAAGGTGGTTGAAAGGAATTAATTCCCGAAATTCTGTGGGAATGTCAGTGGAGCAAGACCATTGAAATGAATGTGCTAAATTGTAAGAGTATCAGTTTTTCAATCTTATTGTCGTTTTGAGTTGCTATCCATATATTCCTACACTTTAACCCGGCCAAGATATAACTTGTGAAGTCCTTTTGATCAATTGATGCATGTATCTGATTCTTCATTTTTGAGAACTTTGAGAATATGATCAAGCCTATGGTAGTGTTATAACTGTGTTGGATTGAGTGCTCATGATACCCTAAACACTAAGTGTTGAATGAATATTATTTATCTTTGTGAGGGGTAATTAATGTAGACTTGTATCTTTGAGAAGCTGATGGCATTGTTGGAAACTTGTGATGTTAGATCAGTCATGCTTAGTATATTGTGTCTGAGATTGCCTGTGTATTGTTATGCTAGATTAATTGTTTATTTCCTGGATTGAGTCTTGTTCGTTGTTGCGAACAACAACGTTTAAATTTGAGAATGATTTGATGTGCCTCTGGCATGTGATATTTTCTAAGCCAAAAATAATAAGATTTAGTCATAGGAGAGCATTTTCTGTATATTAATTGCTTTTATTATTTAGTTTTTCCATTTTAGTTTATTTCTTACATTTTTATAGTTTTACAGGTTAAAATATGAAGAAATAGGAAATTGAAGAAAAGAAGAAAAAGAGGATCCACGCGATACGCATGGATGTTGGCGCGACCCGCGCGGAGATGCGTCTGCCATACAGATTCCAGAGAGTTGGCGCGGTTGCGGCGCCAACCCCGCGCAACCCGCGCGAACTTTCTCGGGAAATCAATTTCTGAAGACGTTAAAAGGACGTAACGAGGAAAGAAAGGGGGATTACGACAGAAAGGCACAGAGAGTTCCAGTAGGAGGAAAACATCAAGGGAGCAGATCATCGTTCTTAGTTATCATCGTAATTTTCTTTTCTTTTCTCTTTTATAATTGTATGTCAGCTAAGCCTATGGCTAGATAATTTCTCTTATTGTAGTTAGGGTCACAAACCCTATGTGAACCCTTTTCACGATGGATTGATTTATTTTCGCTCGTTTATTTTAACATATTTTACCCAGTGCGTATTGTTTATTATTTCTGTTAGACTTGATCAACCTAATAGGAGATAATAATTTGGGAATTAGGGCTCGCAATAGGAATATTGGGGTTTTGATTCTGAAAGGGGGTAAAGTAACAATTGATGCATGCTTTAGGAATAGACTTGTGTGAATTGCAGTCGTTTAATTTATCGTGGTTAATGCTTAATTTCATGTAAGACTGCTAAGGAATTAGGGTTTCAATTGGATTAAAGGGTTAGATTACCAAGGAATTGGGATTTAACTAATTATTTCTAGATGATAAATTGTCTGAGTTATTAAAATAAATGAGCATTGTTAATTAATCCAGAGTTTAAAGTGGGGATCATATGATGCGTGTACCTTAGCTGTAATGTTTATTCTTTATTATTCTCTCAAAAATCCAAACTTTACCATTGCTAGAAAATTAAGAATTACATTTTAGTTTTCTGTCTTTAGTTCACTATCAATTCACCATTTTCGAAAACAACCAGATTTTCCAACTTAAGGGGACAAGTTATTGTGGTATTTGGTTTACAATCCCTATAGAGACGATACTTTACTTACTCACTATATTACTTGTGCGATCGGTACACTTGTCGTTGAGCATCAATATTCACCACGAGTTTTCAAGAACAAATATGGTATGTTCTTGAAGAGGAGGATGAGGGGAACAAGTTTCATGAAGGGTGTTTGGTGATTTGATGGAGTTTTGGATGCGAAAATCTAGAGAGAAGGAGGAGAAAATTTGAAAACCTCCAAGGTAAAGAGAGAGAAGTGTTTGGGCTATTGATGAGAATGAGGGGAAGGGTCTCCTTATGTTTTTAGGGTTTTTGCCATGTCATTAAGTGACTTTCTGTCATTTAGTGACACCCGGTGTAATTTTTCTTTGAACGGTTATCAAATTTTTACCCGGAAACACCCAAAACTCTAACTTTAAGAATTAATATTAAATTTGTCTAATTATCATGTTCCTAACTTAAAAATTTGATTAGTAGATCACAAATCCACTTACTGTTGTTTAATTGCTCTGTAGTCTTTACCAGTATTCTTAACTGTACCCAGATTTTATTATCTTCTTAACTTTAATATTATTGGTCTAATTATGACTTGTTAGGCATATATTGGTTTTTCTTTCTATTTTCTCATCTTTTTCTCATTCCGGGATTCTATCGAGTGCTTCTACAACAGTACAAAATACCTGGCAGAAGTGATTTTTCCAAAATATCCCAATATGGATATCAAACTTCATCAAATCATATACTAACCTCATTTATGATATTCATATCATCAAAATAGCTTTCTAACTCAAATTTGCTCAATTAAAAATATTCTACTGACTGTTACTGCGTCAACAGTCAAAAATAACATATGAAAATTCACTTGTGTAAAATACCCTTAATATGGATATCAAACTTCTTAGAATTTCATCCTCATTCCATTTATGACCCTAAGGTCTTCCTAATAATCCTCTAATTTTGAAATTATGAAATTAGAGTTATTATAATATAGGGTTCTTTAAATTCATCTATTTTTAGATTTCAATTCTTTTTTGTAGAAGAAAACATCAATCAATCACAACAACTCATCAACCAACTAAAACCCCAACATAATCCATCATTTAATCTTCATAAAAACCATCAAATACATGTTAAAAACATAATTTTTGGCCTTAAAAACAGCCAGCATAGTTGGGGTTTCTTACCTTGAATAGCTTCTCTAGAAGCTTTAGATCATTCTTCATAATGTAGACAAGCAAAACAACCCATCATGGCTTCTTGGGCAGCATGTAGTCGCTGAATAGATAGAGGAATATCTATCAAAATAAGGCTTCTTACAAGGTTCTATCACTTGGGATTTACTCACAAGACCAAGTTCTACAAGTTTTGTTAAGAACTAAATGGAAATTGATGTTCAAGCTTGCCCTTTGCTTAAAAATGGCTCACAGCCTTCAAAGAAGAGAGGAAGAAGAAAAGCATCGTGGAAGTGGCACAAGAAAAGGCAACCGACTTGTACAAAAGAAATATAACTTAGTCTTATAAATTTTCTACTAACTTTGACCTTATACAATTATAAAGAATCCTATTGACTACTAATTTCTAACACTTTTGCTCATTTCTTTTAATTTTTCTAAACATAAATAGATAAAATTAAGACCACTTAAAACGCATAGAATTTGCTATAAAATTTAATTACATAATCTAAATTGCTTAAATTAAATTAATACTATTGGTCTATAATTAAACCAACCTTGACCTAATTAATTAAATTATTCTAATCATAATTAGAATAAACGAAGATAACTTTTAACCCACTAAATTCATTAAACAATTTTATTATAACATCCAATTCAAGTTTTGACCACTTTTTGTCTATTTACCAAATAGTCCACAACTTTCACTATAATGACATATACGTCTTGAATTCTTTTCATACATTTAATTTAATCCAATTTGACTTACTTGACATGAATTGTATACTTGTATTTCATGATCAATGAACCATTACTTGTCACAATTTTCTTGAACAAAACTTGATCTCTTGAACACTTGCTTGATTTTATTATTTGACCTAACTTGGTTGCGAGGGCGGTTATAACATGCCTATTCTAAAAGACTTGATTTGTAAGCCTTTAGGCCTGATCTATGTTTTTTAATAAAATAATATTATATTATACTTTATTTTTATCTTTTCTAACCTTCCTCCTATGAATTTGGTTTTAATGGAATAAGACAATGTTATTAACGATCTATTATATATATTATAATAAATTGTGTGGTTGTAATATATATTTTTTGAGTGAAATTATATAATAAATGAGTGAGTGAATATGTTTCTTTATTTTAAAATTTAATTAAGCTTTTTGTATTCTTATTGTAACATACCCTATAACTGGCTAGCATAGAGGATATCACATCACTTCTTAAATCTTATTTTGAATGAAAGAATTAGAATTATAAAATATTAAAGAATATGAGATTCTAACCCGCGGATATAAAATAAGGCATATGATAAAATGTTCTTAAAATTTAATTATACATTAACAAAAAAGTCAAATTTACTAGTTTATCTGAATTAAACTAGATTACATCAGCGGAGGTAGTAAGCATCTAAACTATATAAGACCCACAAGTAGGTATCTCAAGTCTCATTAGTCTTCTCTATGAGTAAAAGTCTCTGTTTTGTCAAGGTAGAAAATAGCAGTCACTCATTCTTCACCAACCATGATGTAAACCTCTGTACGATCCTCATAAAAGTACATTGTTATTCCCAAACCTTCACTATCAACCATAGACAAGAGATTTTTTCTTTTTTGAAAGGTTAGCTTAAACATAAATACACATGAGATAAATTTCAGTAATATTGGAGTTTTCGAACTATAATCAATCCAGCCGTTTTAGCAGAAAATATCATTCTCACAGATCATATTTATAATAAGAAAATAAGATCATAAATATAAGTGAAGACCTTTGTGAGTTTCTACATACAAACATACTCAATCCTTTGTAGGTTCTACCCAAACCTTTGTGGGTTTCTACATACAAACATATAAAGAAATGTGTACTCTTAAACTAAAATGACTAAAGTTCAAACTTTTGTGGGTTCTATATGTGAAAGGTTTTGTATGGTGGAGCTCAAGTCATGATAAGACGTCTCTTACCCTATAACCATTTGATCTCCTTGTGAGCCAGTAACATATTCCGTAATATTCATTTGGTACCAAAGGAATTCCTTAATTCTATATTATTGTTTCTAAATCATTCTCATAACTAATATTAATAAATTCATCAAATTCATAAATTCAAACAACATCAACATCAACATCAACAACACCTTTATCCCAAATTAATTGGGGTCGGTAGTAGATGAACCCAAATAAAAGATACAAAAAGGTTGAAAAAAAAGAAACATGTAAAAATAATAATTAATAAATAGAATAGTAATAATATATATATATATAAGTAAAAAAGAAAGGGAAAAGAAGATGAGGGGGAAACGAAGGGGAAAAGGACTAAAAAAGGACCATCTGGAACATAGGAATAACAACGGGTCATCATACTTATAGCTTTTCTCCATTCCGTTCTAAGGCATACCGTCTGCCAATCTATATCCCACATCATTAAATCTTATTTTACTACCTTCCCCCAAGTAAGTTTCGGTCTACCTCTACCTCTTATTGTGTTGAGCTCTTGGTAACAAACTTCTATTCTTACGGGAGCATCCAGGGGCCTTCTCATTACGTGCCCAAACCACCTCAATCTATGTTCTCTCATCTTCTCAGCCACCGGTAGTACTCTTACCTTTCGTCGAATATCTTCATTTCTTATCTTACCCATCATCGTATAACCACACATCCACCTTAACATCTTCATCTCTGCTACTCCCCTTTTATGCTCATGTTGCCTATGTGCTGGCCAGCATTCAGCTCTATATAGCATTGCAGGTCTTACTGCTATTTTATAGAATTTTCCTTTTAACTTAAGGGGGATTTTGCGGTCACACAAAAACTCATATGCACTGCGCCATTTCATCCACTCTGCTCTGATTTTATGATTTACATCCCCATCAATCTCTCCACCTTTTTGCAAAATGGAGCCCAGGTATTTAAAAGCGTCTTTCTTAGGTACCTCTTGACCACTTAGATGCACGAGATCTTGGTCTATATCTCTTACCAGAGAAAACTCACACTTCAGATACTCAGTCTTGCTTCGACTTAATGTGAATCCTTTAGATTCCAATGTGCTTCTCCACAATTCAAGTTTTCTATTAACATATTCCTTGCTCTCATCAATAAGCACAATATCATCTGCAAAAAACATATACCAAAGAACTTCCTCTTGAATATCTTTTGTTAGTTCATCCATAACTAAGGCAAAGAGATAAGGACTTAGAGTCGACCATTGGTGTACACCTACCGTGATAGAGAAATAACTTGATGTAACGTTACAAGCTTTCACACATGTAGTAGCCTCATCATACATATCCTTGATTGCCTTTACATACTTTGATGGTACCTAAGATACATATCATAAATTCAAACATAAAAGATAAATCAAAAGAGTGGAAAAGATTCCTAAGAAAATATTTGGACAGAGTAACGACACCTTCATAGCTTTTTAAAAAATATAACTTCAAAATAACTCTACATATAAAATAAATGACAAGAATAAAATTAGGAGAATGAGATTTTACTCCAAATTTTATTTTTCCCTTCCTTTCTTCTTCTTTCTCCTTTTTCTTCGTTTTCTTGTCTTCCTCTTTTCTCTTTCTTTCCTTATCTCTCTCTTTCTTTTCTAAATGACTTTAACTTTTTTTTGGGGGGTGGGGTGGGGTGTTTCTTATATGGGAAAAATATTTCTACAGTTACTGCAGATAAATTATCTGCATTTATTCTCAAAACAACGTTGTTTTGGTATTGAAATCTTAAAAAATTATAAATATAAAGACTATTATAATCCTGAAATAAATCAAATTTATAAAAGCACCATGATTTTCGTCCCAAAAAGATGTCTATTGAGCTTACTGCTGATAACTTATCTGCAGTAACTGCAGAAAAAGCGATCTCTTCTTATATATATATATATATATATATATATATATATATATGGTAAAATCATTTCTGCAGCCGCTTTACGTACAACAACGACAAGTGTATGGTTATGATTTCCCACATTTAATGCTTTCATCCTTTGTATGGTTATGATTACCATCATTTAATGCTTTCAAGTATATATATGGCAAGTATTTGATTGTTGCACGTACAGCAGCTGCAGAAATGTAAACCTCTATATATATATATATATAAAGAACTTAATCATTATATTTATAAAAATTTAAGGAATCTAATCATTACTTTTATAAAAATCTAAAACTTAATCATTACTTATCTTAAATATCTAAGATATTTTGTATAGATACAAATATCTTTTAAAGTCATCATTTAGTCAAAGATGCCATTTTAAAAATATTTTTAAAGATGCTAAAATATATTATTATTATTATTATTTATTATATTTGAATATTACACTTATCACTATTTTCTTTTAATATTTTAGCAATGTAATTAAATTATCAATATTTTAAATTATATCTCGATTAACTTAAATATACAAAATAAATAAAGCAATAATAGTCTATAATTTACAGTGTGAAATATATCATTTTTATAGTATTGGTAAGCTTGATATATCAAACCATGCTTTGTGTTTTTTTAAAACTAAACAGACCAAAAGTTATAATTTATCTTGTATTAAGTTAATAAATCAAATTAAGCTTGAAATATTTTACTTAACTTATTTAGGTTAAAGTCTAACTTGACCAGGCTCATTTATACCCTGTAGTTTTTATTCACAAAAAATTATCATTAATAATTATTGGTTTATATGGATTTTCAATAAATAAGTAAATAAAAAAAAAAAATCCAAGTCATATTTAAAAATTAAGTTGATAATGTTTTTAGGAATATCAAATCAATAAAATCCAATCTTCCAGATTCTATCACATTAATTTATTCAATCTTGAAATATCTTTTACAGGTATTGCCACGGTGTATCATCCATCAAATTAAATATAATCTCTAATAAGAACTGTTCATAATAAAAATAAATAAATTTATTCGTCATCACAAATACAGTAACTGATTTATTTATGTTTTACTTTTAAGAAGAAAAGAGAATAATTGAATTGCAAAACGAGTGCGTGCCAGGTAACCCATTGCGTGGCAAGAAGTGAAGGCCACACACCGAGCCCATATTTTTTCAGATATAAACGCCCTCACTCACTCATTCCTCTCTCTCTCCCCAAACGCGTATTTCTTTTCTTCTTTCCATTCAGCGTTTCGACTCTGCTAAACACCGAACGAGTTCGATCAAACCCCAAACCCTAGACAAGGTCAGTGAAACACTTTCTCTCTCTATTCCAACTCTTACTCTTATGGTTTCAGATTTCACCCATCATCTGCTTCCATGTTTTTATTTATTTTATAAATTTTAATGCTATGGGTGTGTTCATATACCATATAATATACACAATTAATGGAACAAGAGGTCATTTTTATAGTAATAATTATCTCCGTATACATACATATTTACATACTTGTATATAGTTGTATAAATTTATGCATACTTGTATATAGATAAACAAATATAATTGCGAAAATAAAAAAGGAAAAATTGTGAACAGCGTTGATCAGATGGCCTCGAAACGCATCAACAAGGAATTGAAGGACCTGCAGAAAGATCCTCCTGCATCTTGCAGTGCTGGTATGTTTCTCTTCTCTTTTTGGCGTGATTTTTGTGCTTTCAATTGATCAATAAATTTTCACTTACATTGGATGATTTAAGACGACGTAGTTTTATTGAAAAAAAAAAAATCTGATTAGAGCCCAGATACTGTGGTAACTAAGGCATGTATTTAGAGGATCTAAACATTGAAGGCACTGCAATAATGATGATTTGTACTGCATTAGAATGAACTTGGTAGTCTTTTTTTTTTTTCTTTTTCTTTTTTCAAGTTTTCTTTTTTCGAACGTTTGACAAAGTTTTTTATCATTACTTTGTCACTCTTGCATGCATATGCATGTATGCTTATACACGATGATGCATATGTAGGTATGTTTGTCATGGATTAATTAATTTACTGTGTTTGAACATTTGTTGGTTGTTTGGTCTCACAATAAATGATTGTAAATCTGTAAGGTGTGGTGAACAATAAAATATATGGGTGCCCGGAGTAATCCCCTCCTCTGGTAGTAGAAAATTAGAAGTGTTTTTTTCCATTTGAAATTTAGATGTGGGTTGCACCCCAGATTATGCAGTCCATAATTCTTAATTTTTTCGGTAAAATATAATTAAAAAAAAATTTGTGGTAAGATCTTTAATAATTTTCGTTTGCTTAGAACCTGTCGGCACTTTTGGACTGTTCAGTGCATGAATTGAATTTTTATGTTCAGGCCCAGTCGCTGATGACATGTTCCATTGGCAAGCTACGATTATGGGCCCTGCTGATAGCCCATTTGCTGGAGGTGTGTTTCTTGTGTCAATTCACTTCCCTCCAGATTATCCTTTCAAACCACCCAAGGTAAATCAAAAGCCTTCTTTATGAAAACTTATGACGTGTCTAACTATATCTAAGTGCACACTTTATGGGACAGCTTCCTTTACCTCTTTGCTTTGTGTTAACTATGATATATATATATATATATATATATATATATATATATATATATTTTCCAACACTAGCATCGCAGGCATCCTTTTATTAGATTTTTTTGTTCAAACTTAGAATTCTGAATCTTACTATTCTTCCTTGTTTATTCATGTACAAATGATAGTTGGTGGTGGCTCAACCACCTTTGAAGTAATTATAACAACCCCCCCTCCCCCCCTTTTAAAAATCTCGTCTTTGTGGGAATTCCCTCACATAAGCTAATTGAAGTCTTTTAAGAGTGAAAAATAAACAAACCTTATAATGTGGGCTCCACAAAATATGGCTGGAAAGTCTGGCAATGACGGCTGGTTGAAAAACCATGCGATGAAGGTACCTAGAGTCTAGCAGTGAAGGTTGATTGCTGGAAGGCTCCTAGGGATGCTAGAGACTTTGCAGAGATGACAATTGCTTGAACGACAACTGAGCAATATGGCTGGAATGATCATCTGCCTAAAGAGTTGGTTGAAATGTTGTTTGACCAAGGAAGAAGAGACTTCATTGTAATGATCATCAGCGGAAATATCCTGGGAAGCAATTATACTCAACAGGAACTAAAAATTTTCGTCCAAGTTCACTTATAATAGTATTTTTCATCCAAGAATAGTATTTGGAAGCTCCAAAGGAAAACTTAGGAGATCTAAAATAGTTAAATTGAGGTTGGTGTGCATCAACTATGGAGAATTTATAGCTGATATGACCCATTAGTGAGATTGGAGAAATTCACCAGTGGTGCAAGCGCGATGAAGGTGCTGTCCTTGGTTCAATAAAGGTGCAGACATATAAGGTGCTCGGCTGCAATTAAAGCTACCAGGGTTGGCTGCAATGAAGGCAACTCTCACAAGGCTGCCATGAAGCCAGGCTAAGATTGCGCAGAAGCAAAGTCTTAATAGACTGTGGCCAAAGCACAATTAGGACAAAGGTCGAGGCGGGACACCTTCGAACCCCTGAGGTGTTGTTTTAGATGGCTTAATCATGATTGAAGCCATTGTTTTGGCTAATATAGAGGCTGGGTATAGTGCTAGACCAAAGAACACAAAGGATCATGGTTTCGAGCAACCAAACAACCACCCAGCACTATTCCCTTTTCATTTGTAGTGTGTATATTTTGTTGTGAACTTGTGATATTTTATATCTTTGACCCATAGAAATCCCCAATTCTCTATCCACCCAAATCACAGGTGGCTAGTTCGTTATCTTTCAAGCTTAAGAAACTAAGAGATTCGAGAATATTTGATGGAACCCAATCTTATTAAACTGAAATTGATGAAAACAGTAATGGAGCCAAGCTCCTTACAAACACTATTGACAAAACAAAAAAAAGACCCCAACGCACCCTCAGAGCCAACAAACCTAGACTCTAAGATATCCCCAATTCCCCAGTATTCACTCAATACATGCATACCTCACTCCACCTTTTCCCCCTCCTTTTATCCTATCCTCACAGAATATTATGGAAGAATTCCTTAACTAATTAACCCACTCACCACTTTCAAGCCCTTCAATATTTAAGGATTGGAGAAATAATTGCTGCCAATTTTTTTCATTCGTGATGTTGGTTAGATTTGGCATTTGATTTGAGTAATAACGTACTTAATAATTCCACCTTGTGGGGGTGGTTTGTATGACATTCATTATCATTACGTTCAGGTTTCATTCCGTACAAAGGTTTTCCATCCTAATATCAACAGTAATGGTAGTATCTGCCTTGACATCCTCAAAGAGCAATGGAGCCCTGCCCTCACAATATCCAAGGTAATCTGATAATGTTTTTCTTTTCCTTTTGAATTTTCTTGTCAGAGAAACTGAAATGTTATAATTTTGCAGGTCCTCCTGTCTATATGCTCTCTGCTGACAGATCCCAACCCAGATGATCCTCTGGTCCCAGAGATTGCTCATATGTACAAGACTGACAGAGCCAAGTACGAGGCTACTGCTCGGTCATGGACTCAGAAATATGCAATGGGCTAGGGTAACTAGTTGATGTTCAAGATGTTTTGCATATTCTCTACCATAGTAGTAAATAAATAATGTCGAATTGATCTAAACAAATATGAAACTCTGCTCTCCTTTCTGTCACTTTGAACTGTAATATTGGAGAAGCAGTTTCGTACTATATGAAGTTTATGGCGGAAGTCGCTGTATGTTCTTACATCTATTTTGCATGGTTTCCATTGAATTCTCTTCAAATGAATATCCGTGTGAATCTTATATGGTTCACATTTATTTATTTTTTCTATGTTTGGATTGTCAATTGTTGGGGCAAAGCTTGGCAAGGCAACCGATCTAACTATGTCTGGCTTTTTGGTCCAACATCTTGAAGTTCTGTTTCAATAATTGCTGTTATTGATCTTGTGATTCGAGCGTAGACCGGTATAAGATCTTAGATAATTTAGTATGTGGTATAAATAGAGATACAAAATAACAAAGCTTGGTGATGTTAAATCACGAGTTGTACATGCGGCCTTGGTTGCAAGTTCGTAAGGATATCTTGTTAAATTTTAGAGTGTGCATGACTATTATATTCTTTTGTACTGTTTCTGAAAAGAAAGAATTTTTCTTTTTTTTTTCTGTGCTTGGGAACAGTTTCTGAGGAAAAAAAATTGTTTGATAATATGTTTTATTTTTATTTCGAGAATGAGAATTGTGTTTGATAACATAACAAATAATATAATAAAAAATAATTCTTATTAAATATAAATATTTTTTGGATCATTACTTTTCTTTCAATATAGTGTGGTGGTGGTGGCGGCGGCGGTAGTGATGACAGTGGCTGCGGCGATGGTAGTGGTGGTGGTAGTGATGACGATGATGGTAGTAGTGGTGGTGGTGGTGGTGACAATGGCTGCGATGATGGTGGTGGGGGTGGAGATAGTAACAGTAATGATGGTGGTGATGGTGGTGGTGGCGATTGGTGGAGGTGGTGATAATGGTGGGGGGGGGGGGGGCATCGTGGTGGTGATGGTGATGGTGACGACGACTCTGGTGGTACAGCGACTGTGACGACAATGGTGGCGATGGTAATGTCGAGATGATGGTGATGGTGGTGAGTGATTGAAAGAGACAAGTGTCTCATTTTGTGCCCAGGAATAAATAAATAAAATTTGATTTTTTTTTTTGTTCCACACTGCAAAAATTAATCGGTTCATCAGGAAACAAAAAAATAAATTAGTTTTACCAAACAAGTTTTTCTTTCATTTTTGTTCTACGGAATAGAAATTTTAAAAAACAAAATGCTTCCTAGAAGGTTATCCTGCATACCCTTATTAATTACTTTGCATGATAATATTTTTCAGTTATTTTTTCAATTTTTGTTCTTGGCAATAGAAATAATGTTTGATAAAATTGATTTATTCTTTTGTTCTGTTTGATAAAATTGATTTATTCTTTTGTTCTCGGGAATGAACTGACTTAATTTCTGTGTTGGGGAACAAAAAAATAAAATAATTTTTTTTTTGCTTTTTCATTTTCAGGTGCAAAATGTGAAATGTCACCACCATCGTAGCAGCATCCACTGTTGTCACCATTACCACCACTATCGTAGCAGCAATTGTGCCCATCTAAGCCCATTTTGATTGAAAAATGTCATCTGTGCCCTCACCTGATGATCAACTTTAGCATTAAAAGCATATGTTTAATATCTTTTTGACAAAAACACAGTGGGGAACAGGTGGTGATGTAAGACTTTGGAAAATATACAAAAGGGGAACGAATTTGGAACATTAAATATACCTGCTCCACTCATTTAATATTTCTGACCACTTTGTAGGAAACGTTGGAAAGAAGTTTCCATAAAGCATAAACGGTGCAGCAATCAAGCAAGAGAAAACGTGCGCAGCAGAGAATAAACGGTTCCTATTGGCTAAGGAGGAAAGCAAGGCATAGGACGTTCAGAAGGAAAGACAAATCTCAACAATAATTGTCCCATCCAGCCACTTGCGCCCCTCAAAGCACTGTTCACACCGCCCCTTCCATGCAGTCAAGAAAACAACTCCAAGAGAATTACCCACTTTGCCCTTCACTCTTCTGTCTATAAATAGGATGTTCCAGTACGAAGACAACCATCGAATTCCTTAAGAAGAGATCACTTAGTTTAGTTTATAGTTTTCTTTGTATTTTTGTACAGTTTTAACTTTAGTTAAGTGACAACACTTCTTCTTCATCTGTATCACCCACTTGAGACTAAGTATTTAAGAAAGAATAAGTATTTAAGAATGGAACAGTGGATCTGTTCCTTCTGTTAAACTGTTTTACACCATCCATCCTGTTGTCTCTTAATTACTGTTATTACTATTTTTCTGTTATTTGTTCGATCTTGTATCTATAACTCTCCCATGAATATTGATTTTCCTTCTCTCAACAAGAAGGGCATCATACATAACGAAGTGATGAACTGTTTGCTGTCAGATTGAACCTACTATCCTTGAGGAACGTTGTCAAGATAGTAGGGAACGTCTGACCAGACAGGTTAATTACTAACGTTTCCTTTCATTTTAATTCTTTGTAAAATAGTATAAGACATTAATTAGAGTTCTATCCTCGTGGGAACGATAATCTAGGCATTAACACTCTCATTTATTACCTGATGTGTGCACTTGCGCACTTGGGTTGAAACTAAGAGAGCAATTGTGTTCTTTCTTAGTGAACTGAGGAACGTCTTCATCATAATATATTTTTCACCCAACAACTTTTGACCAAACAACAGCATCCACTGTCGTCAGAACCAACATGCCATCACTACCACCACCACCATTATCATCATGCCACCGCCACCATTATCACCACCATCGTCACAGCCACTACCGTCACTACCACCATCATGCCATCTGATACGGAAGTAAGAATGTTACATTTGATAAGAGAAGCTAAAATGTTAAGTCCAGTATATACAAATTTGTCTTCTTATTTCAAGGCTCAATTTCAATTGGGTTCAGAAGTTATTTTGGGTCAAATTATGATTAGTTCGCTGCCTTAATGTGTCAACTATGAAGGAAGATCAAAAGTTTTAGCATTTAAAGTACAATAAAGAGTTTTTTGTTGTTATTAACTCTTGGAAGTTGAGTTTAGTTATTTTTATTTCTATTTCCTAAGAAACACAACTCTTAGAGTTATATGTCTCTTTGTATTCTTATACTTTTAGTTATTCTATAAATATAGGATATTGTGTAATGCAGAGGACAGATTTGATACATGAAAAAAGTGTGTTGCAAGTTCTCTAACTTGTCTTGAATCTTGTTATCTTTATCTAACCTTGGGTTAGTGGTGAGGCAAGTGGGTTCTTTATCAATTGAAAGGGTGGCTTAGCCTTTAACCTCAATTGTGGTGGACTCTTATCAATCCCATTTATTTACAGAGTGTATTTTCCCTTTTTCTCGTACCCGTCACGTATCAACTTGGTATCAGAGCACCAGTTTACATGGAAGACAAAGGTCCAAGGTACAGAACTCGTGAGCAAAATCAGAACATAAGGCGTGACCAACAACTTGCAAATTTTGAAAATCAGATTGAAGAAATACGCCAAACTCTTGCTAATCTTGTCCAAGGAAATCATCATGGACGTTGGAGACATTCCAGAAGCACTCATAGCCCCTCCAATCATGATTCTTCTACTAGTGACTCAAGTGCTTCTTCAAATGAGTCAACACCTCATGATAGAAGAAGGAGAAAATTTTAAGATGACTTTAGAGATGTGAAGATCGAACCCCCAGAGTTTGATGGCAGCTTGAATCCCGATATTTATTTGGAATAGGTTCGTTCTATTGAGCGAATTTTTGAAGCTAAAGACTTTGATGATGAGAAGTGCTTCAAAATTGCAAGCATCAAACTCAAAAAGTATGCATCAATATGGTTTGAGAACTTGAATATGGAGATGAACCTAGAAGGCAAGAGAAGGCTCAAATCTTGGGCTAAACTGAAGAGGCTCATGGATAAAAGATTTCTTCCTGTCAGTTACAAACAAGACTTGTATCTCAAAATTGCTTCTCTCAAATAAGAAGATCTGAGTGGTGAAGAGTATATTTAGGAGTATGAACAACTCCTTACGACTAGTGGCCTTCAAGAAGTTCAAGAACAAAAAATTGCTCGTTTTATTGGCGGATTAAATATCGATATTGCTGAGAAGGGGGAACTACAACCTTTTTGGACTTTTGAAGATATGTGCAAGTTAGCCATTAAAGTGCAGAAACATACAAAATCAAAGAAGGAAACCAACAAGCCATCAAGTTTCTTTAATAATTACTCTTCTAAGGGTGACTCCTCCTCATCACAAATTATTAAGGAGAAGAAGAAGGAGAAGGAGACGGTCAAGGAAGCTCCGAAAGAATTTAAAAAGAAATTGGATGGAAAGAAATGTTTTAAATGCCAAGGCTATGGCCATTTTCAAGCTGATTGTCCTAAAAGGCGGGTCATGACACTTAAAGAAATTGAAGAAAATGAGCATGAATATGAACACGGTTCAGTTTGGCATGCTGAACATGATGAAATCTCGGGTGAAGAAGTTATCTTAGGAGCAGACCAAGGGGGCATCTGCTTATGTTACGAAGAGTCCTCCACGCTAAAGAAGCACCTAAAGAGAAAAGCCAAAGAGAACAAATCTTCTACACAAGGTGCACTATCAAAGGAAGGGTATGCAATCTCATTATGGATAGTGGCAGTTGTGCTAATGTTGCTTCTATGTTACTCATTCAGAAGCTTCAATTACTTACCACTCCTCACCCTCATCCTTACAAATTACAATGGCTAAGCATGAATAGTGATGTTAAGCCTTTAATTGAGAAATTTCAAGATGTGTTTCCGAATGACTTGCCCCCTGGTTTGCCACCAATTAGGGGAATAGAACATCAAATTGACCTCAGACCTGGCGCTCCATTACAAAATAGGGTTGCCTATAGGTGTAATCCTGAAGAAACAAAAGAAATACAAAGACAAGTGGAGGAGTTGATGGCTAGAGGATTTGTTAGAGAAAGTATAAGTCCTTGTTCTGTTCCAGCTTTACTTGTTCCTAAAAAGGATGGTACTATGCGTATATGTGTTGATAGTAGGGCCATAAACAACATCACCATCAAGTATAGGTATCCAATCCCTCGCCTTGATGATATGCTTGATGAATTATATGGTTCTAATATTTTCTCTAAGATTGATCTTCACAGTGGATATCACCAAATTAGAATGAAGGAAGGAGATGAGTAGAAGATTGCATTTAAGACTAAA